TCTGGGAATATGATGTACAACGTGATGACTACAGTTAATGCATCTGTATGGCATATTTGAAAGTTGCTAAGCAAGCAGATCCTAAAAGTTCTTATCACAGGGAAAAAAAATAAAACATTGTTTTTCTTTATAAAATTTATGTATCTATGTCAGATGATGAATGTTAACTGAACTCGTTGTGGCCATCGTTTCACAGTATATGTAATCAAGTCATTATGCTGTATACCTTAAACTTACACAGGGTTATATGTTAATTATATCTCAGTAAAATGGAAAGAAAACGTAAGGAAGCTATGAATCTTCACATAGCTATATACTGTCGAGCAAGGGCAGGAGAAACAAAAGGTAACTCTAGCAAGTATGGGTAGTATGTCCCATTACGTACTCTATTCTTTATCTGCAAGCCAGAGCTGTCCAGTAACTTGAAACATGAGAATCAGTGAGATCTGGGCTATTACATCATCAATAATCCAGCATTCTTTCCTTTAAGGAGTTAGCCTTTGCCTGCGTTATTTAGACCCAGGGCTTTTTAGGGAGGAAGAGTGACACTATTTGTTCTACATCTGAAACTGGTTTATATCTGCTTGAAGCCAGCCTGGAGACATCCAAATCCCTTTTGTCTGTGAGTGAATCGGAAATAAATCTGGGTGATGAACCTGACCACTACATCATCACAGCAAATCTTCTCATTCTTATGAAAGTGGCTCTATTTTATTTATTCATTTTTTTTTTTTTTTTTTTTTTTTTTTTGCAAGATGAGAAGGAAACATAGTCATCATTGCTTCTTTCCTCCTGGGTGCTATAAACATTTTTTTCTATTATTGTAAGTTAAGAAGAATTACAGTACCAGAGAAGATGGCTTAACTTAACCCTCCCCTCTCCACCCTATTCCTGAACAAGTATTTTCATTTCCTTCCTCATTGAATGTAAGATTTTCTTGTCTTGTAGCCATTTCCTTCATGGAATTTTTATGATTTTAATATTTTAATGAAGCTTAAAGGATTACATATATCTCATTCTCCCCCAAAACTGAATCCACTGATGGCACTTTTTTTGCGGTTATTTTATCCCCTCTCTAATTACTTTTTTATAGTATTTGGACAGAATGGTATGGTGAAAGAGCCAGAGAGAACTCTAATCTGAATCCTGAATCTGGGATTTGCTCGGTTTTAAACATTGAACAAGATGCTTAATCTCAGTGAGCCACAGTCTCTTCATTTGTACAATGAGACTGATGTTAATTACAATGTAGGCATAATGTACAAGTATAAAGATAATATATTTAAGACATTAGGAAGTATTTGGTAAGTAATAAACTTTATATGGTAGGCATTTCGATGCAGTAGAGAAAAGCATGAGCTTTACAGCCATTCGAACTTTAGAATAGGATTATTAACTGTACTTGTGCAAGTCACTGTCCATTCCTGAGCCTTCCTCCTCATCCATAAAATGAGTATTCTAATTCCTAGTATGAATTAGGCATGAGAAATGTGAAGTTCATATGTTGTCAGTGCCAGGGATATATCCAGTACTTGCCTGTATATTGTTTGTTGCCTACATCTTTACTGAGTCACTTTTTAAACACATTTAAATTCATCCATTATCATTTTCTTGCATTTTAGGTTTTACATCTTGATTTTATTACCATTTTTATAGGCTGTTTTTGTGTTAAGATTAACCATAGTACTGAAGTGCATCTTGTATGATACATATTCCCCTCTTAAGAGCTGAATAACATATGCAGCAGAAGCATTTTTAAAGGTCAACTATAGATTATTATTGTTCTTCCTTATTCCCTTAATTCGGTAGCTAAGCCCCAGGCAAAGTGAAGTGATCTTGATGGCCAATGTATCACAAAGCTAGAAAACAATTTTCCAGGAGTGAGAAAGAGTATAATTTTCACCTGAGCTGGAGAGTTGAAAAGTTTGTGATTATTCACTACCAGTAGGTCAAAGCAGTGTGCTTTGAGGTCAAGTTGTCCTGGGTTTGAAATGCAGCCTTACCACTTTCCTCATCTATGGTTTTGTGTGTTTTATTTACTGCTCTGCTTCTCAGTGTTCTCATCTGTGAAATCTAGGTAAAGATATTCCTTAATAAAAAAAATGAGATGCATATATAAACAACTAATACAGAGATTGAAAATCTTCTGTTTCATCTTGCAAACCTAACCTGAACAGTTAGTTGGTAGCAGTTGAAGGAGGGTAATGTGTGAAGGCTCATCGTGGGGCTAAGGGAGAAAACATTCTACATGCCCAGCGATATGGAATAAGAGGAATAAGTGTACATAAGTCAAACATGTGCCCTCTATGGCTTGCTACTCTAATTCATAATAAATATCCAATACAAATGGTTGCCAGTGTTATTACTGAGATACAGTGAAAGGTTGCATGAAGTTTTTCTGAGTGGTAGTGAGTAGTACCTAAGTAGGCTGGTCATTTACATTTTCATATACTTGCCAAGATGCATTATTACATTATATTTCTTGTAGCCCTTTTATATTTCTCCATCTCACAAGGTTTTCAAATTATTAAATTACTTGTGAGTTATTATTGAAGAAAATGGGCCAGCCACTAATTATGTAGCAAGTTAATATTTCATTGCAAAATAACTTTTAGTAATAGATTTATGACTTGAAAAAATAGAACACTTTGTGCAATGATTTTCAGACAACTTAAATGCAATACAGATCTCCATCTCAAAATTGCTATGGAATTGGGGTTCTCTCACATTCTTTTTATTTTGAACATAAAATCCACTGTTTACTATTCTACAAATTAGCTGAATTTTTTATTTTAGTTACTTTTTTATTTTTTTAAATTTTATTTATTTCGAGAGAGACAGCACGAGTGGGGGAGGGGCAGAGAGAGAGGGAGAGAGACAGAATCCCGAGCAGGCTTGCACTGTCAGCCTGGAGCCTGACGCAGGGCTCAAACTCACGATACTGCAAGACCATGACCTGAGACTATACCAAGAGTTGGACGTTTGACCGACTGAGCCACCCAGATGCCCCATTAGTTAATTTTTTTTTATATATAAATGAAAAGTAGAAGTTATAATAAAGGCAATGATGGTTCAGTTTCTGAAAGCTGACCTATGAGGCCTTGAAGACCCAAAGAAGTTCAGGTTGTTTCCAAACAGAATCTGTAATTCTGGCCCATCTTTTTCTTCCAACTCTGAAGTTAGTGTATGTTTTCTACTGTCTTTGGAATCCACTTTAGAGATAGATATTTGGATATAATTTGTCATTAATTGCTTTAAACTTATCAATATTTCGATATCGTCACATTCTTTCTGTTACATAAATCATATCTAGTATCATTTTAGTATGAAGAAATGGTTCACTTGCCCTAGAAAAACTTACTGTTTGCTTTCCTGGGAAACATTTGTTAGCTCAACATGACAAAAAGAAAAATAAATCTGTCTGACAATGTTTCGTATTTATAGAGATATTATAACAATACAATATTATAGAAATGTGAAATTAAAAAAATTATGCCTAATCCTCCTGCTAATAACGGTGAGCGTTTTGTTTATTTAATTTCAGTCTTTGGTCTTTGCTTCAGTATTTCTTGCATTCCCCCTGAGCATTCTATTTAATCTAACTAAATTCTTCTTAAATGCAAACACATTTTAAGTTTTAGATTAAAAGAAAAAATTTTGTACTATCATTTTTATGACAGTATAGTTTAAGAACTATTCTGAGAACCAGAAACACATAGACGTGTGTGAGTGGTGTATACATTTTTGTTCATATTACGTATTTGTCACTAGTATTTTTTTACTAACCAGCTGAGCAAAGGGAACTCAAAAGGTGAGGAGACTTAATTCAGTTCTTCAAACATATTTGTATTGACAGCACTGGGCTAATATAAAGGGAATATGATTAAAGTAAAAGGAAGCTACTTCTTCCTTTGAAGCAAAGAGGTATAGCCAGTGTGGAAGGAAAAGCCTCTGATTATGCCTTAAAATGGAAAAAGCTATCGTAGTTCTGATTAGTTAAGCTCCAATGGTCTGCCTGAAAAATAATTCCAGTTACCAGTCTATTACCTGGTCTTAGAAATTGAATAGCTTCTATATTTGCAGTGCTTATTAAAACTATAATACTTAAATATACAGATCAGCTTAAAATATAATATTCCCATCAGGTAAAAATTCTTCCATACTGTAAGCAAATAAAGGAGGGGGATGGTAATAAGTAAGGAACTGATATACGTTTGGTTTTACTTCCAGTTTTGGGGGTTTTTGTTTTTTGTTTTCATTCTCTTGCTTGGCTGTTAGTGAAATGCTGTTAGTGAAATTTTGGCAGGTAAAATTTGCTTAACTTGAAAGTAATAACTGATGGCTGAAACTCTTCACACTAGTTCTGTACATGGTACTGGGTGTGCTAAATAATTATCATATATTCACGGAATTTTGCAAGTGATACTCATAAATTTTATTTATTAAAATATAAAATGCAAATAATTTGTGAAAAAAATCTAGCACCACTACTTAATCCAAAATATTTTTGACTCCTTCTACTGATCTTATTTTCTCAACAATGTTGTAAATCTTGGAAGGACCTTAAACTTCTTTGTCCAAGTCCTCATAATTCTCTCTACTTAGTAGTTATTCTATAAATGCTTGAATTTCTAAAGGAATAAATGAATGTGAATAAAACAGAACAATTGACTGTACATAAGAAAGAACACACTTATCTTTAAGAAAAAGAAAAAGACAAAGGGTGTATGCTTATGGGTTCGAGGTTATTAGGTTAAAAAATCAAAGCTTTATTAGTTACTAAAGTTTTGAATTTAACCGTTTCACTTAATTTCTCCATATACAAGTTTCATATATGTGAAATGGAAATTATGGTGACTTTGGGGGAATCCAATGAGATAATGGGTGAATGTACTTGCCACAGCATCTGAAGTTTCATAGAGTATAAATACGATGATGTGCTACTATTGCATTGTTGGAAAGCTGTGCCCTCAGGTTGATCTTTATGACTTTCTTCCCAGGTGAAGCATACATGCGATTAAGCAAACTCCCTGAAGCAGAGCATTGGTATATGGAATCATTGAGATCCAAGACTGACCACATCCCTGCTCATCTGACCTATGGGAAACTGCTGGCTCTAACAGTAAGTAACACCTTCCTTCCTCACCCTTTCGAAGCTGGTTTTCTCCACGCAGACTAAGGTAGAGTTTAAGGTATTGGTTCTTAGCTGATTGACTCATACTGTTAGGAGGTAGTGATGGTAACACTGAGTTAGAACTCTGTATTGAACCTATAGACAAATGTATTTGCTTGGCTGTAGAGTTTGCCATAGCTAAAATGTGGTATGTCGTGATCTTTGATGTAACTAAATGGAAAAATATAGATGGTGAATCCCATATATGGATTACATAATGGATTTCTCATAATAACAATATTTGTATGAAGATTATGTTCTACAAACCACTGTTAGTCCCCCATTGGCTACACTGTAGAACTCAGTCTGATTCTTTCCAAATAGCTAGCATTATGTAATGCTTTGCATGTGTGTGAATTAGTGTCACCTGGAATTTCTACTAATTGGAAATCATTCCAGAAGAGAAGTGGAGCCATCGTTTGGCCACCCACTATGTGACAAGCAGTCTCGGAGGCCACATTCTCATGAAAGTGGTGTTAGTTTGAAGCATAAGAAACTGCTGGAATTCTACCATTGTGATTTATAAAAATCATAATTTCATGTGTTTCAAAGTAATGTTGACGTCTTATTTTACACTGTAGAGGATTGTTCAAGATAAGTAAATGTTCTGAGCTTATCCAGTTAAGAATAAGCAGTCGGACCAACCTTTGATCCCTATCCCAACCTATTGTCTGTGTTGTTGCAGTTATATCACCTAATCTCTCTTCAATATTAATAAAACTAAATGACTCCTAGAAAAGCATAGGACAGATGGTCAGGAAAGTAATTTCTAAGTGAATTCATAGAAAGGTAGCTTATAATTATTTAAAAGTAATATTATTTTATTTTCTACAGAAGATGGTAGACTAAACACTTAAATGGTACAGGCAGACTAAGTACCAGAAAATACCCCACTAAAATATATCTAGGTGTCCTTAATAAAGCAGATAACTCTCAATGCGCAGCTGAGTTCAAAAAGTAGTGAGAGAATTTCCTAAGGGCGGGAAGTGAGGGGTAACCGAATGCCAGAACAGTAAAACCGTTGGCTGATCTGGTAGCTAATCTGGTATAGTTTACCAGTTGTGGCAACTGGAGGGAAAGGGCTTTTTGTTTGTTTTCATTCTTGCTGGAGTAAGAGACAAAGCTTTGGACCAGTGAATGGCCAGGGATTAGATACCTAAATGAAGCAGGAAAATTCATACCCTCTGTGAAAGGATAATCTGGAGTAAATTTGCATACTGCTATAAGAAGGCAGCATGAAGGTTTGCCTATCTCAGCATGGGATTTGGATGGAGAAGGAATGAATTTTTACTACTGCCCTCCTTTTGTCTGGCTTTGAGTTTTGAATTTGCTTTACTTGCATGGTCATGAAATTCCTAGGCCAAGAAATTAAATTAAAACCAGGCCACTAGAAACTCTTGCTGAAGAAATTACTGAAGATGTCCTTCAAAAGAACACAATTAAATCTAGAAGGAGTTGCTGATTACGTTGCAAAAAGAATGTGAACAAAGAAATGTGATCATGTGGGTAAACAAAGAATAATAATCCTAAATATTATACTAAATATTTATAATACTGAATAAAATATTGAGAAGGAATAACCTCACAGGAACAATCAAAATGGGGAGATGAAATTTAAGATGATTTTTGGAAGTCAGAAAGTGGAAAGAGGTATTACAACTGATTTGTCAGAACAGAATCCACCAGGGGCGGCTGGGTGTCTCAGTGAGTTAGGCATCCAACTTCAACTCAGGTCACGATCTCACCGTTTGTGAGTTTGAACCCTATGTCGGGCTCTGTGCTGACAGCCCAAGCCTGGAGCCTGTTTCAGATTCTGTGTCTCCCTCTCTCTCTGCCCTTCCCCGGCTCACACTCTGTCTCTCTTAAAAATAAATAAACATAAAAAAAATTGGAAGGAAAGAAAGGAAGAAAGAGAGAGACAGAAAGAAAGAGAACAGAGTCCAACATCTGAAGAGGCTTTGGGATGGGGTAACAATGAAAAGAAATCTTACATACTCAAAAAGAAAGCCAGAGAGACTCAAGACTTGGAGGGGGCTGGCATAGAATCGAGTGTTAAGGAGCCTTTATTAAGTGGGGTAATCAGTTGTAAACTGTGTCTAAAACCATCAGGTCTCTCCCCCAGTGCTCAATGCCAGCATCCAGGCAGTCACTTCCAAGGCAGGGAAAAGAAGGTTTATAGTGGAGCAGCTGAGTAAGACAGGTTCATGAAGCAGGAATAGCTTGCACAGTTGAAGGTGAAATGCAGAGAGGACTGAAAAGATTGACTCAGTATCTTCCATTGAAGTACACAGATTGTTAGTACCCCTCCCCAACCACATGCAGAATACCAGCAACACAGAGTTATACTTGTCCAGCACCGCAACGCATACACATGTGCACATGCACACACACACACACACACACACACACACACACACACGTCCCACCCCTGAGAAATTATAGAATTCTTACCTGGAGAAAGTGGCACACTGTAGGGAACAGAAATCCACATACCTACATTTGGAGGTCACCCATAAATGACTAGCTCCCAAACCAGATACACAAAAGTGAATCTTCTCGGTCTACAAAGCACACTGATGCCTAAGGAACTCCATTCAGCTTTTATTAAGTAACTTTTGAATAACAGTGGGCAACCAAAAACCATCACTCATATTTAGGAAACCTTGAATGTAAGCGATTGGAACTGAAGCAAATTATTAGGAGAAGGAAGATGGAGGAAACAGAAGAAAATTTTTTAAAAAAATCCTTAGAGATAGTAACATAGCATTTTATAAAAGCAATATGCTATAAAAACATAAATAATGAAGAAAAAAATAAAACAACAAGAGCTTTTAGAAATTAAAGATATGAGGACAAACAACTTTCATTTAAAGGATAGGAGACTACAGGCACCTGGCTGGCTCAGTCAGTAGAACATGGGAATTGATTTCGGGGTCATAAGTTCGAACCCCACATGGGCATAGAGATTGCAAAAAGGAAGGAAGGAAGGAAGGAAGGAAGGAAGGAAGG